GGCCCCAGTGAATGATCGGGGTGGCCCACAGGATGCTAGTTTACAGTCCGTGGTGGGTTTGTTTCGACTTTGGTGTTGATCGTTCCTATGCAGTATTTATCATCGGGGCGACGATGCAAAAGGCGGGGATGAAATGTAGCCAAGTGGGGAATATTGATCATCTCGCCCTATTGGTTCCAGTTCATGTTAGTGCTGGAGGGTAGCCCAGTGTGGAACCTTGGTGTCCAGAGATTCCTGGAGTGGCGCCGTTCCGCTGCCGATCTCTGCGTACAGCCTATATGCTGCCTCAAGATTTTGTATTGGTTTTCTTTGGTTTGATTCGCTGTATCGCATGGATTGATTGTTTGTATTTCTTTGGGTTGTTTTAATTATGTTTATTTTGATTGCTGTGATTATTTTGTATTTTGGTTAAGCTTTGGGCGGTCAAGCGAGTGTTGCGGGGCGACGGAAGGCGGGTACCATACTAACCTGGTGTCCTGTCTCTTTGCCTGTGTTTCAGGGCTAGTAGCCTTGAGCGGCACCCTCCTGGCTGGTGGTGGACCTCACCCGTGTGCACGTGCAGTATAAGTCACTGGTATTAGCTCACCCAGCACGTGTGTGTGGTTGTCTGTGTGCTCACGTGAAATATCCACGGAGGTCCCGCCTGTGGAGAGTTCCTGGTCCAGAGATCAGTTGTGCTTTTATCTGGCATTCGCTGCTGCAGGGGTTTGGCGCTGAAGGGGTTTTTAGATCTATTGTGCGTAGCGTGGAATTACAAATCTCCCCTTTTACTGATGTACGTCTCTGGCCCTCTTCGGTGGATCGAACCTGTGATGACCATTCAATTCAAGTATCCTGACGGTGGGTTAAAAATCTCGTCAACCATTCCAAGTAAATTTCTCTAACCCCACTTATTCTTCTACTAGCTAGATAAAAAAAAAAAGAAAGAAATAAATTGATGTACATTTCACTTTGCCAGGATCTAGGCTGTGATGAAATGGCCAGTGAGATGTTTTCACTTCAGATGGCCATGTCACCGACCTCACTCCTAAGCACCAAGGAAGGTTCCATAGCAGACAATGGCATTACTGCTCCATGGACCTTGTACATTTTGTGGATGTCAGGGGATGAAGTGGAGGTCAGAGCCTTTAGTGTTTGTTAGCACTGTTTTATGAGGGCATCAATGATGAATTAATATTGCAGAAATGTGTATTTTGACCCAAGAAACAAATGTTCCTCGAAATGCTTTTTAAACCACTGGGAAATTAACTTACATAGGTCCTAAAAGTGCTTGAAATTTGGCTGGGCTACGTGCATGCTAATTTTATTTATGAATTCATTTTAGGATATAACATCAAACTCCTCCACAGCTCAGAATCAAGCAACAGCTGCCCCACCTGCTCCGTCTCCACCAAACAGTCTCCACCTTTACCCCTGCTCCCTCTCCTGCCATCACAATCCCCACTGTTTACCATTGTTTTTATGGGACAAATATTGTTCTATTGTACAAATACTAAATTACTACATTAGTACAGTTAGTAAATTATGGTCTACATTAAAATGTGTAGTAAACTAACATTGCAGACCTGGATTTTACATTTCTGCATGCCAGTAAAGAAACACTGCTCTCTAATTTCCCTCTCTTAATACAGGCCTTTTGACATTGCTGCAAAACTTAAGACTCTGAAGTCAAGGGTCCATCATCTCACTCCACCAGCTAATCAGATAAATGCTCTTTGTAATGAAGAATTTGACTGTGCTTTGAGAGCATTCAGATGGCCAGCCTTTGATTCAGAGTCAAAATTAGAAATAATTTTTATTGATGAGGACGGTCAGGGAGAAGGGGCCATAGATGAAGGTGGACTTATCAGGGAGTTTTGCAGACTTCTAATGAGAAAGCTCCAAGGACACCAGATATTTGAAGGGCCCCTAGTAGCACGTAACCTGGCACTTGACAGTGTTGGTATTTTTGTACACAAACTACATATACATAACTGATTAACCATTCATTAAAAAGCTGTACAAATCAGATCATTTTTAATAATGCCAGATGCTTGTGGGAGTTCTGCATGTGCAGCAGAGGTTTGTACTGATTGTCTGCTTTATATGGAACACCTGTTCACCTACTCATTAATTGAAATATCCAATCAGAAACTCAAGTGGCAGCAGCATAATGGATAATGGATAAACAGAAAACTGCTGCTGATCTTTCGGGATTTTCACGTGTCTCTAAAATTTACACCTGCAAGCAAAGGGTTTGTAGGCTGATACATTGTGTTGGTGAGAAAAGTCAGGGAAGAATGACCATACTGGTCTGAACTGACATGTGGTGAGTGTATAGTAATTCAAATAATCACACTTTATAGCCACTGTGAACAGAAAAGCAACCCCATCTGTCCAGATTGGGTAAATGTGTCCATTGGAAACCCAGATTCCTGTTACATTCCTGTTCTTGGCTGACAGGAGTGAATCCCAGAATCACACACATCAAGATCTAATGTGCATGCTGAGTTGCTTTGTGATATGAACATTAAGTGAATAGCTTGACCTGAATCTGCATGATTTAATGCAGTGTACTGCTGCCGCATGTCTGGCTGATTAGACCAGTGGTTCCCAAAGTAGAGGTTGCGACCCTCTTGGGGGTCGTGAGACATTGAGGGGGAGGTCGCGAGATGATTTCCAAGAAATCAAATAATTTTTTTTAAACTATTAGAAATAACATTTTATCAACATTTTAACATTTTATATTAACATTTTATTCATAACTAACAAAAGATAAAAAATAGTAGTTAATAGTTGCATTTTAAAAAAACATGCAAATTTAAAAGCCATCAGCTTTTCAAATTTCTTTCCGTTTGATCGCGACCCCTGAGGTGATTACGACAGATTAACGACACATCAATAGGGTCAGTTGCAGCAGAATCTACAGCACCATGTTAAACATTCCGACATGTGCACGTAACGTGTAGGTAATTTTCATCGCTTTATGCTTAGGATATTATTTTTGTTGAAATGAAACGGATGAGTAAATAACAATTTTTTAAAAAGTTGCATGGTTGTTAGAGCGTTGTGTTCTTTTGTGTTGTCATGCTCTTGTTTGGACAGGATATTTTGTTGAAATTAAACAAATGAGTAAATTACTATTAAAAAAAATTATATGGTTGTTAGACCATTGTGTTCTTTTGTGTTGTCATGCTCATGTTTGGATAGGCCTATTGGCGCATGTGCACCGCTGCGCGCAACATTTGTATATTTTAACCAGAGGATAGTGGGGGTCACGAGTCACTGGCATGGTTATTTTGGGGGTTGTGAGCTGAAAAGTTTGGGAACCCCTGGATTAGACAACAACAGAAATGAGAAAGCATACATGTGTCCCTAATAAAGAGCCCAGAGATCATGTTTTAACATTACCATGTTTGATTACCCAATGTCTCTTTTTCTTTGTACCCCTTCACAACAACACCTACAGAATTGTAGGGCAAATGTTGGCTGTTTGCCTGATCCAGGGGGGAGTGTCCCCTCACTTTTTTCACAAAGGCTTTTCAACCAAGTCCTAAGTCTTCCATCTGTCCCAGCAACCATTGAAGAAGTGATAGACCATGGTCTAAGGACTAAACTGGAGAAGACAAGTTTCATGACGCTTGCAAACATGTACTTACCTTTCATGGACTTATCTTTTGTTTACTTACCTTTTGTAAATACTAAAATGACCAAAAGTCTTTGTCATGAAACTGGTTCAATGAAGTACATTAACCTTTACCTTGTTTGCTAACTACAAAGCAGCTAATGTTATTACTGCTTCCATAAAGTTACATTTACTATATCAAACAAACCATTTTATGCATTACAATGTGTGTATATGCAGTTAAGTATTATAAAAAGCAACTATGAGTTTATAGGTATTTCTTTCCTGCAATTATGACTATATTCATTAATAAGTTTATAGGTATTTCTTTCCTGCAATTATGACTATATTCATTAATATCAGTGCAAGGCCCTGGAAAGGTTACCCATAATCACAGTAAAGTCCTGTAAATTGTTTTAAAGTATTTGATATAGTTTGAGATATTACATCAGACAAAAAAGTAATGTTTTTACTCATTAATTTGCGTTTAGTTTACCAAATGTCTCAGATAAGCAGTGCAGAGACGCTTGAGGATGCCAGACGGGCTGTTAATGAAGCAGCGGATGAGTTGGCTCTGATGGGAGCTCTGAGGCACCTCCAATCTTTGGATGACAGTATGCAGCTGATGGAGGCTGTGCTCCATTTTTACAGTGAGGGGCGAATACAAGCAACCACCCAACAGTAAGTTGTCAGTATTTCAAGTAGAAAACTTGCCCTTATTTGAAACTACCTACACTTCTTATACTTGGTTGCACTTTTGTCACTCATTATCCTGAATTTTAACAGCATGTTTTAAAGTACATACAGTATGACAGTATTAGTAATACTACAGTTACAATTAATTCACCTTTTTTCTGATGTCAGAGAAGAACTGAGTACACTTGGGGTCCTGGAGGAAATCACCTTACGCCCTCAAGCTTTTGAGACAATCTTCCTCCAATACACATGATCCCTAAAGGCCAGTGATCTTGTGGGGCTTTTTCAAGCCAGATGTAGATCATTGCCAGGATCTAATCGGAGGAAGTTGGAAGCCAGGACCATTGTCTTTTGGAAGGATTGGCTCCTGGATATAGAAGGTAAATCTCCCTGTGCCAAGCTTAAAAATATCAGTATACTTTATGAATTAAATGGAACGGCCCTTTTGGTTTTCTTTCATACCTTTTTTTCTATTTCTTTTCAAGGGGACTTGCCCATCCAATCACTCTGGAACACGTCCTCATTTTTGCGACAGGCCTCAGACGAATCCCAGCAATGGGTTTTGAGGTGCAGCCAGAGTTAGCATTTTTGCTAACTCTGGACTGGTCAGGTTCCCATAGGCAAACACATGATCTCTGGTGCTCTACCTACCAAGATGTTTTCAGCAAGGAGCTTTCCTTCAAGCTACCCCCTCATCAACTGCGCCATCAACCTACTTGAGGGGGCGCCTCTGCCTAAGGGCCACCTGTACCCCCTGTCTATCACGGAGGAGGAAGCCATGGAGACATACATATGTGAGGGCCTCAAACAAGGTATTATCCATCCGTCCACGTCTCCAATTACCGCTGGGTTCTTCTTCATCAAGAAGAAGGATGGGGGTCTCCATCCTTTTATGGATTATCATTCACTCAACGCCATCACCGTGAAGTGGAGAGAACCCCTGCCTTTAATCCCTACAGCGTTGGAACAACTGCGGAGAACAACTGTGTTTACCAAGCTGGATCTCGGTAGCGCCTACAATCTGGCCTCTGAAGGGGGGACAAATGGAAAACCTCTTTCATCACAAACACAGGCCAGTACGAGTATCGGGTGATGCCTTATGGATTAGCCAAAAGCCCCTCCATCTTTCAGGCTTTCATGAATTCTGTCTTCCAGGACATGGTAAACTGATTCGTGGTCGTCTGCATTGACGACATTTTAATTTACTCACTTACCTTCTCCCAGCATGTCTCCCATGTGCGCCAGGTGCTCCAATGGTTGCGGGAGTACAACCTCTTCGCAAAAGGTGAAAAAGTACGAATTCCACCGGACCCAGGTACAGTTCCTAGGCTACGTCATCCACCCAGGGGAGGTAGCCATGGATGAGAGAAAGGTGACAGCCATCCAGCAGTGGCCACAGCCCCGCACCACTAAAGAACTACAACGGTTTTTGTGGTTTGCCAATTTTTACTGCCGCTTTGTACGTAACTTCAGCCAAGTCGCCACACCCCTCACTTTGCTCAACCGAGGTCCGAGTTGCAGATTGAAGTGGACCCCAGATGCTGTTCCACAAATGGAAAATAACTAATGATTTCAAAATTAAGCAGGAGTATCTACAAGTTGAGTAAAAAAATAACATTAGATTCTCCAAGAGGAATGTAGAAAGAAAAATTTCATTGGAGGCTAAGGATGACAATAAAAGATTATTCCAATATTTTAACTCCAAGAGAGCACTAAAAGCTGAAATCACTAATTTTCAGGATAGTAAGGGCCTCATAATTCAAAATTAAATTGATATAGTAAATGAGTTTAATGATTATTTTACTCGGGTGTTCACA